CCACATAAGCAAAAAGAAAAAAGCCAGAAGTGGCGCTGTGGCTCAAGTGGTAGAGCGCTAGCCTTGAGCTGAAGAGCTGAGGGACAGTGCCCAGGCACAGAGTTCAGGCCCCACGACTGGACCCAAAAAAAAAAAAAAAAAAAAGACAGTGTAGCATACAGACTGGAATTTTATTCATCAGAAAGAATAATATGTCATTTTCAGGGAAATGGAGATACCTGAAAAAGTCATACTGAGAGAAGTAATTCAGGCTCAGAGAGACAAAAGCCGTATGTTTCATCTGTTGAAGTTAGACTTAAACTGTAAACATCTGCTGGGCTGTATATATACAATCAGACTGACTATAATATATGCAAAAGTAGTCTTCATAATATAACCAAGTCTTTACAAAATGTGTTATCTAAGAAAAGGAGAAAGGATGAATAAATAGAGGGCATAGTGGTCAAATGTAGTCATAATATTCAATGTACATATGCAAAAATAGAATTGGAAATCTTTAGGAGACAAGTATAGGATGGAATGGGTAGGGGAGCAGAATGACTGAAGGGCTGACGCTACTCAAGATGCACTGTACGTATAAATAAACATGTGAAATTGAAACCTCAATTTAATGTAATATTTGAAAATCACAAAAAGAAAAAAGTTGATGTCTTTATTTTCAATAAATACATGTTTAAAAGAAAAAAAATAATTGTATACATTTAATTAGAAACTGAAGAGCCATATTTCCTGCCTGAAAGCTGTTTCTTCTAAGCTAGAAATTCTGATAAATCAAATTTTCTTAAAAAAAAAAAACAAAAACAAAAACTAGTTCTTGCCAGGCACCAGTGGCTCCCACCTATAATCATAGCTACTCAGGAGGCTGAGAACTAAGGATTGTTGTTCAAGGCCACCCCAGGCAGAAAAGTCCCTGTGAAACTCAGAAAGGGGCACTGTGGCTCAAGTGGTAGAGAGCTAGCCTTGAGCACAAAGAGACTTAGGGACAGCACCCAGGCCCTGAATTCAAATCCCACAACCAACAACAACAAAAACATATTTGTTCTTAAACACTTCATTCTTTGGTATTTCTTTTATCATTATTAACACCTATTTAGTTGGATAAAGGGGTTTCATTTTAATATGTCTATTTACATATAATCAGGAGTAAGTCTCCCTTCTTCCCTCAGGCCCCTCCCAAAACAAGTCTCATCAGGATTCCATGTTCCATTTTCACACACATGTATATAAAGATATTTTTGTTGCTTTTGCCCTTCCTCCCCTACTCTGTTCATGGATTCCCCTCCCCTGTTTTTCTTCTTGAGTTAAGATTGTCTTAGTAGATCATTTAAAGGGGCATCCACATTATAATTTTCAACACTGACACATGAATATGGTTAAGATTATAAAAGCAAGTTTCCATCAAAAATGTAATTATTATGTGATACATGCATTTTTTTAATTTCTTACTTATTTTTTAAAAGACTGAAGGAAGTTAAATTTTAACATGTCCATAATTTTAATACATGGTCAAAGCAAATACAAACAGTCCTCCATCTTGTAATGACTGTTAATCAGTAGAAATGAAAATATTCTTCCCTTTTCAGGGTTGGATGTTCTAAATGATGATCCTGACCTCGTGAAGGTGGTTGAATCTTTAACCTGCGGGAAGATCTTTGCAGTGGAGATACTGGACAAGTCGGACATCCCTCTGGTTGTTCTGTATGATACCTCAGGGGAAGATGATATCAATATCAACGCCACCTGCCTGAAGGCCATGTGTGACAAGTCCCTGGAGGTTCACCTCCAGGTAACCTTTGGTCACCACTGTCCTCTGTCACACCTAAAATAGGAAAGAAAATTGTCAATAATATTACAGATCTTAGGCTAATGATCGATAAAACATCACATAAATATTGAGAAAAAAGGAAAAGGCAGTGGAAGAAAAATGACAAAATGTTAATAGTAATTTTTTCTTAGGAATTGGGTTATTATGAATATGTTATTTGTGAGTATATATGAAATTACTCTACAAAGATAATTTTTAAAATACAAAGAAATAGGATATTATTCAACATTATTCACACTTTTTTTTCTTTCACTGGTACTAAAGTTTGAACTCAGGATGTTGTGCTTACTAGGCATATACTCATCACTTGAGCCATGTCTTCACCACTATTTTTCCAAATAGTGTTTCACATTTGAACCTGGATCACCTGGAGTTTGATACTCCTATTAAACTGTGTGTATGTACACACATGTGCACACACATGCATGTACACATGCACTAGCCAATTCTGAGGCTTGAATTCAGCATCTGGCTTCTGTTGCACTCAAAGTTAATGCTCTACCACTTGAGCCAGAGCTCCACTTCCAGATTTTTAGTGGTTAATTGGAGATAACGGTCTCATGGATTTATATGCTTGGGCTGGATTTGAACTGCTACCCTCAGATATCAGCCTTCTGAGTGACTAGGATTATAGGCATGAGCCACAAGCACCCAGCTTTTCTATTAAACTTTTTGTGTAGCTTGGATGACAGGCATATCACCACACCTAGATTATTATTGGTTGAGATGGGAGTCTCATGAACTTTTTGTTCATCTGGGTTTGAACTGGAATCCTCCTGATCACTGCCTTCCAAGTAGTTAAGATGATAAGCATTAGCTACTGTGCCTAGTGCAAAGAAAAGTTTTAAATAAAGAACATCTACCCTGAAATGTTCAAAGTGATCATTTTTAAAAATATTTCACAAAACCTTGGGGGAAAATAGTATCAGTAGAACTGTGAATTACTCTTATGAATTGAATAAAAAGGTTAAGATTAAATGCTTGCTTGTTTTTAATAATTGGTAAGATTCAGGTAGCCATTTCATGGACACAGGTTAGAAAGCAGTCTGGTAATGGAATTGATTTTGTAAGTTGTAGGATTTCTTTTTTTAATATCTATTAGTGTTGAAAAAGCATGGTGTATGGAGTCATTCTTATCCTAAATAAATGGGGAGAAAATACACCAAAGTTAAGGCCTCATCTATCACCTTTCAGAGGATGAAATGTGGTAATGTGCGAACCGTCCCTTTTGTACGTGACACATATGATACTGAGTATTCTTTTGGGAAAGAAAAGGAATTCAGTGTAGTTAACTGTAGTGGATTTTTTTAACATTTAAGTTGTGAATATTTTTATTTAGCTGTCCTCTGATATTTTAAAATGTAAGACTTTAAAAAATGAGATAATTAGGTAAATATCCTGTGATGGGGTAAAAGCAACATTCTGTTCTTATGTCCCTTGTTCATTCCAGGTCGATGCCATGTACACAAATGTCAAGGTGACTAACATTTGCTCTGATGGGACAATCTACTGCCAAGTGCCTTGCAAGGGCCTGAACAAACTCAATGACCTTCTGCACAAGATAGAGGATTATTTCCACTGCAAGGTATGGCAGCAAAGCACCCCCTCCAAAACTAGTACTAAAATGCAAACACTAACCTGCATTAGTGTAAGTTTTTAACAGTTTAAACTTCAGAGTTTTGGGGGAGTTTAGGAAATAAAACTACTCTAATTTCTGCATTATAAAATGAGGTTAGTAACTCTTGGGCATCTACCCAGATCATTAAAGGTCAAAGACACTTGCATATCCATGCTCATTGCTGTGCCATTCACAATAGCCAAGTTATGGAAACAGCCCAGGTGCCCTACAACAGATGGAGTGATTAATCATACAATGAAATTTTACTCATCCATTATAAAGAATAAGATAGTTATTTATAAGGAAATGGATGGATCTAGAACAAATCATGCTAAGTTAATGAAGCCCAAGCTCAGAAAGGCAAACAGCACTTGTTTTCTCTCATATATGGAAACTGGATCTAAAATATAACTAGACATGATAACCTACACAGGACTCGAGACATTCACACAGTCAGACTAAAGGAGAATAACCTTAGAGAATAGAACCCAAAGGTGTAATTCCCCTGAACATTTATAATACTATTTATCCAAACCAATATCAGGAAAAGGAAACATGGGTTTGTTTTTTTGTTGTTGTTGCTCATGGCGCCTGAACTCTGGGCCTGGGCACTGTCCTCAGCTTTTCAGCTCAAGGCTAGCACTCTACCACTTGAGCCACAGCGCCACTTCCCACTTTTTCTGCTTATATGGTACTGAGGAATGAAACCCAGGGCTTCATGCATGCCAGGCAAGCACTTTACCACTGAGCCACATTCCCAGCCCCAAAACATGGGTTTTGTTGTAGGGGGTGGTGGTGGTGTTTGTTTTAGTTTGGGTTTTTTTTTCTTCTGAGAGACAGATTGGGGGGAAGGGGGCAGGTACAGAAAGGAAAGGAGGAAGGGTGAACAAATAGAATCATAGTATTCAGTATACACTTGTGGAAAATGACCTATGTAACTTGTGGACAATGGGAGGGGGAAACTGGAGTAAAACAAAGGAAGGGGTGACATTGTCCAAAAAAGAAATTACTCATTACCTGAATTATGAAATGGTAACCCTCTGTACTACAGCTTAATAACAAAATTATATTTTAAAAATGATAATAAAACAAAGGTAGTATTGTGTTCTATGTGTTTATCATCACAAGGATAGTGGAAATTCTGCTTAGCACAGGGTCTGGCACATACTAAGTGTTTAGCAGTGTGTAGATTTGTTATTTATAACTGCAGCTGCTGGTAACTGACTGCTGGAGCCAGCTGGTCTGCTGCTACATGCAAAGAAGGCTTATTGAGGGCAGTGATTGTGTCTTGTGAGTTTGCAACATACCTTGCAGTACCTAATTTAGTGTCATACAGTGGAATAGATACTTCAAACTATTTGCTGAATCAGGTCAAACCTGTATTCAGACTGTCATCTGAAACTGAGACATCAGATCTAAAGTTTTACCTCTTTCTATGTTATAAGTGAACTTGCTAGTTTATCTTGGAGAAACCTGAAACCCTCCCTAACCCCACCCGCAGAGAGGCTGACTCTGGTGACTCCTTTTTACATGGATGGCATTATAACCCATGATATAGAAGGCACTTATGACATTTTCTATTACTGTGCTAAACTGAATAGGGGTGTTAGCTCGAGGGAGAATAGAAACATTCACTGAACAGAAAGAGGCATGGGCAGGCCCCAACTTCAGGCTGTAGCAAAAGAGGCAGTTGAGAAGGCTGTGATTTGTTAGCATTTCCCTGGCATTGACAATACATATTAGGAATTAAAATCTTACCTTTGAGACTTAAGTATTAAAGGATGGAAAGAAGAGGCCTTACAGTCGGCCATTCCAGCCTCCTCACTTTTTATCCATCTACCCTTCCTGCTTCTTTCAAACTCAAAGATGTGTAACTGACCAAGCCACAGCCTACATGAGTCTCAGTGGTTTCTACTAATATTTGTAGATATTTTTTTTTGGTCAGTCGTGGGGGCTGAACTCTGGGCCTGGGGGCGCTATCTCTGAGCTCTTCAGCTCAAGGCTAGCACCCTACCACTTGAGCCACAGCGCCACTTCTGGCTTTTTTCTGCTTATGTGGTGCTGAGGAATGGAACCCAGGGCCTCATGCATACGAGGCAAGCACTCTACCACTGAGCCAACTTCCCAGACCTATTTGTAGATATTTTAATGGTCCAGATTTCTGAGCCATGTGCTTAAAGGGGGAAGTAAACCATTAAGTGCAACAAACATAATAATAACAAGGCAGATCATAGATGTTCAAGTACTCTTGTACATTTGCTGCATCTGTTGGGCCCACTTGGAAGGTAGGGCTCATTGGAAATCTGTCTTCATGGGGGGAAGCAATGTGCCTGTGCCTCAGCCATCTGTCTTGAATGTTGTAGCCACAACTCTTTGCTAAGAGTAAATACAGAATTTCATATTTCTGTCTTATAGCACATGACCTCTGAGTACTTCATCTCACTGCCCTTCTGTGGGAAAATCTGCCTCTTCCACTGCAAAGGAAAATGGTTACGAGTAGAGGTAAAATAAGTTGCTTAATCTTTGAGATTTTTATTATGAAATATTTTAAATATACAAATAAGTTGTTTTAAACATAGAATAAGCATGCCCACACTCATTGCCAGTTGATAAAAGAAAAAAAAATGGTTATTATGATTGGGCTCCCGTTTTCTTAACTGTCCCTTCCCAGGAAGATTCTCTTTTTTTTTTTTTTCTTTTTTTTCTTTTTTGGTCGATCATGGAGCTTGAACTTAGGCCTGGGTGCTGTCCCTGAGCTCTTTTGCTCAAGGCTAGCACTCTACCACTTTGAGCCAAAGCACCACTTCCAGTTTTCTGCTGATTAAATGGAGATAAGAGTCAGGGACTTTCCTTCCCAGGCTGGCTTTGAACTGCAGCCCTCAAATCTCAGCCTCCTGAGTAGTTAGTATTATAGGTGTGAGCCACCAGCACCAGGCTTTCCTCTTTGTTTTCTTTAAACTATGGTATGTATAGATATAGATATATAGATAAATATAGATATATTCATTTTTACTATGTATTTTTTATATGTTGGTAGTAGACCTATAGAAACAAATTGTACTTAGAATATATAATAAAAATAAGTTGGAAGTAAGCTATGGCTGAAGTGTTAGAGCTCTTGAGCAAAAAATGAGTGACCCCAGGCCCTGAGACCAAGCCTCATGAGACACACACACACACATACACACACACACACACACACACACACGACTAAATAAATAAATATTTTAAAGTTTGTGTAAATAATAAAACACATTGATTCTTCTAGCATGTATTTTTTTTTGGGGGGGGTGGTCCGGTCATGGGGCCTGAACTCTGGGCCTGGGCGCTGTCCCTCAGCTCTTGAGCTCAAGGCTAGCGCTCTACCACTTGAGCCACAGCACCACTTCCGGGTTTTTTTTTCTTTTTGCTTATGTGGTGCTGGGGAATGGAACCCAGGGCCTCATGCATGCAAGGCAAGCACTCTACCACTTCTAGCATGTATTTTTTCTTAGAATGTTTTTTCAGGATTGACCCTGTTGCTTTTGTGTGACACAGCAAAATGAATATGTCAACATTATCTACATTCTCCTCATCTAGACATTTAGATTTTAAACTTTTTGTTATAAACAACATCAGTATGTATATCTCCCGTGTGTGTGTGTGTGTGTTTGTGTGTGTGTGTGTGTGTGTGTGTGTGTGTGTGTAATTTCAGAGTACAGAGAATGCATAGGTGTAGCTTTATAGTGCCTGATTCTCTCTACTCAGTCTCTCTTCCATTGAGGGCTAGCTCCTCAATTTTTTTTTTTTTTTGTCGGTCTTGGGGCTTGAACTCTTGGCCTGGGCTCTGTCCCTCAGCTCTTTAGCTCAAGCAAAACAGTCTACCACTTGAGCCACAGTGCCACTGCTGATTTTCTGGTGGTTAATTAGAGATAAGAGTCTCATGGACTTTCTTGACCAGGCTGGATTTGAACTGTGATCCTCAGATCTCAACCTCTGGAGCATCTAGGATTACAGGCATGAGCTACTTGCACCCAGCATTCTGACTTTATTTCTTGAATACAGAGGTTCAGAACGAAGATGCAAGGACCTCTACTTCCAAGGGAGCTTTAAACTATATTTAAATTGTTTGCAAATTGTGTGTTGGGGGGGTTATATCTTTGTTACATATTTTGGGAGGTAAGTATGAATAATTTTCATAAGAGTCAATCCTGTAAAGGTAAAATTAATTTTTAATATATTAATAAATTATTGGTTTTCCCTTTAATTAAAAGTCATGCCTGGTGCTAGTGGCTTATACCTGTAATCCTAGCATTCAGGAGGCTGAGACCTGAGGATTTTGGTTCAAAGCTAGCCCAGGCAGGAAGTCTGTGAAACTTTTTATCTCCAGTTAACCACTAGAAAACCAGAAGTGGAGCTGTGGTTCAAAGTGGTAGAGTGCTAGCCTTAAGCAAAAGAACTCAGGGAGAGCACCCAAGCCCTGAGTTCAAGCCCTATAACCTCCTAAAAAAGAAAAAACGTGAGGAGTAATTACTATTATCAATATGACTGCATATCATCAAGAGACTGAGATCTGGAGTGCTTTTCTCCTTGAGCCACAGTTCCACTTCTGGACTTGTGGTGGTTAATTGGCAATAAGAGTCTCACAGACTTTCCTATCTAGACTGGCTTCAAACCAAAATCCTCAGATCTCAGCCTCCCCAGTAGCTAAGATTTTAGTCATAAGTCACCAGTAACTGGCATTAGTTTTCTAATCTTTGAACTGTTAGTTTGGATGTAGGTTTACTATTCTATGAATTGCTGGGTTTCAGATGTTTTTTAATGAGCACAAATATAATAAAATTACTAGGACTTAAAATGTTATAACTTCTAAATTTACTCAGTCTAATAAAATTCCATCGCTGAATCATCCCTGTTCTTTATTTGCTTATAGTTTTTCCCTCAGATTTTAATTTTTTAGAGGATAGACTCCATCTTATAATCAGCATTATTTAATAATATATCAAGTCATTTTATAACAGATTATATCCTGAAATTAGAGGCATAGTAAATATTACTGTTCTTATATTTTACCAATTATTATTAGTTTACCAAATTAAAGCAATTAAGGGAAATTAAACACTTGATGTTGAAATCAGTTGTTTTAGCACTGATGGTCTTTGTTGCTCTTATGTGCAATTAGGAATTGGTTAAAATGTAAATTGTATGGAAGCATTTTAGTTTTTTGTATATTCTAATAAATTGCCAACACATGTCTCATTTCAGATCACAAACGTCCACAGCAGCCGGGCTCTTGATGTTCATTTCCTGGACTCTGGCAACGCAACATCAGTAAAAGTCTCAGAGCTCAGAGAAATTCCACCTCGGTTTTTGCAAGAAATAATTGCAATACCACCTCAGGTTCTACATGTTATAAGCTTGAGATTTGTCTGAAGTATTTTGGATTGTGATTGTGTTGTGAGAAGCTCTCTTGGTTTTGATGTTACTAATGATCAAAGTTACAGTCTATAAGAGAATTTGAAACTTGTCCAAGTGTAGTTGTTTACTGGTTTTCACTTAACACTCAAAGCTCAGGCATACAGAGAATTGTAGATACTTACCCAGCCTTGTCTTTCCCGCTCTGTGGTCTCCCACAGCTAGTCAGTTGAGTTGTCTCACTATTTGTAAAATGATACCACAGCTTCTGCCACATGGAAGTATTGTGGAATGATTGGTGTCTAGTAAAAACCTTGGCTCAAAAGAGAAGTATCCACTGTGTTGACACAAAAACACAGCCCTAAACAAAGAGCTTTGATGGCTCTTATCTGCTGTTGTTTTCTGTTTATGTTGAGAACTTCTACCTCGTAGGAAAATGGACAGTATTCATTCTTTTGTTTTCCTATTGTGTTTGCTCTCAGGCTATAAAGTGCTGCTTAGCTGATCTTCCAAAATCAATTGGCATGTGGACTCCGGATGCTGTGCTTTGGCTAAGAGATTCTGTTTTGAACTGCTCAGACTGTAGCATTAAGGTGAGTTATTGTGCTGGCTCTGGTATGTCTTGAAGAGAAACTGGAGCTGGGGAATGGGGAACTCATGGATTTTTTGTGAAAGCATTTTATCCCACTATAATACATGGGTGTTTTTCACAATAGACACATTTTTTATTAAAGAGATGGTTCCATATATAGTTATTTCATGGTTTGTATCTTATTTAAAAAGCTCTCCTCTATCTTCTCAATTAGTTTTTGTTTTCTTTTCTCAATTAGTTTTTGAGTCCAGTCGTGGGGCTTGAACTCTGGACCTGGGCGCTGTCCCTCAGCTCCTCAGCTCAAGGCTAGCGCTCTACCACTTGAGCCACAGTGCCACTTCCAGCTTTTTTCTTTTTGCTATGTGGTGCTGAGGAATCGAACCCAGGGCCTCATGCATGCAAGGCAAGCGCTCTACCACCGAGCCACCTTCCCAGCCCTTCTGAATTAGTTTTAAACCCTTTAAAAGGGTGTTAGATACTCAATAAAAATGCTTTTCAGTGGTTACTTTTTAACATATATATACATATCAAAATAAATGAATAGCCAGTATCTCAATGCTTCAAAGAATAAATTTAAATAAAATTTAAAAATTAAGGAAATTGCTGTACACTGCCTTGATAGTGTCTTCTCTCTTCTGTGTCCTTGATACCAGTTAGATGTAGCCACTTTGATTTTTCTTAAGACAAACCAGAGAAGCTGATGAGAGTCATTAGCAGTCTTTGGGATACATGGTAGTGGGATTGCAGTACTGGGGTTTGGTACTCCCCTACAGAGATAGAGCAGAGGTTGGCAGTTAAGTAGTCTTCTGGACAAAGGTGCAAAACTGTCATTTGTTCTATTCACTAGAGCTTTCTTGTCCCTTTTTTTCTCTCTGTAGTTATGACTGGGGAAGGGTGAAGGTTGAGGATGTGTGTATTCTAGGACCACCCAAGGTGATATCTCCAAGTGGAAATGTCAGTCCCCTTTTCTGAGGGCTCTGCAGCCTGAAACAGGAGGCTTGTTGAACTTGTTGCCATCTTTGCAGTCATTTTTATTGCTGAAACTGGCTGGTGAGCACATAGCCACTCATCATAACTATCCTCCCACTTGGAGTGTTTTAGATTGTCCTTAATGTAAAGATTCCATCATGTTATAAAGACCCACTTCCTTCTGTCAGTGGTGATGACCTCTAGCAAGTTCCAAGGTTCCTCAGAGTTTTTATTTCCATAAGATGGCTGTTTCACTGTAGGCTGTTTTGACTTGAGTCAATTTATTGCTAGGCTGTGGTAGATAATTCATCTTTGCTTAATTAATAGGAATTTTAGCATGTTTTTGGTAAAACATTGGATCTTAATAGTTAAAGTTAATGATTGCTTCTCAGAATCCAATGGATTTCCTTTTTGTTTTCCAAAGGTCACCGAAGTGAATGAAGCCAAGGGGATTGCCTACGTGTATTTATTTACTCCGAAGAACTTCCCTGACCCACATCGCAGTATTAATCGCCAGATTACAAATGCAGACCTGTGGAAGCATCAGAAAGATGTGTTTCTGAGTGCTGTGTCTAGTCCAGTCAGCTCTCCTGGCGGCAGAAATGGCAGCACGTCCCTGTTGGGCAATATACCTGTGTCCAGCAGTACACCTATTTCTAACAACACTCCTGTGTTGGGTAACACGCCTGTGTCAGTCAATATACCAGTGTTGGGTGGCACCCCACTGTTGGGTGGCACACCCCTGTCAGGCAGCACTGGAGAGAATTTCAGAAAGAGCTTCCCAGAAATCATCAAAAAGTCTGTGGTAGACCACACCAGCCCTTTCTCCGCGGAGGAACTGCCACCTCCTGTCCACTTGTCAAAGCCTGGGGAACACATGGATGTGTATGTGCCTGTGGCCTGTCACCCAGGCCACTTTGTCATCCAGCCTTGGCAAGAGATTCATAAGTTGGAAGTTCTTATGGAAGAAATGATTCTGTATTACAGCATGTCTGAAGAGCGCCATGTAGCAGTGGAGAAAGACCAAGTATATGCTGCCAAAGTGGAAAATAAGTAAGTCCTGGGACAGAGCCAGAAACATGCAAGGGCTCTGATCTTGTTTTAGGGGGGCGCCTCTGAACCTGGAATGGAAATGGTTATTGTGGAGTCAACAGCTTTTTAAATATGTAAAGTGATGGCATTTATCTACAAGTCAAGTATTCCTGCTCAAACCAAATTTTATACCTAAAATGAAGGTTTAAATGTTTTACCCATTTTTCTACTAGAAAAATACTCTATATTCAGAAAATAATTGTTTTTATTAACTTATTTTTAATGTACATTGTAGAAAATTGAAAAGTAAAGAAACTAAAGTCAGTTACACACACTTAGTTTGTTAAACTGTGTATGTCTCATTTGTTTGTATGCATATTTATAATAGTTGGTATATTATTATCATATGTGAAGTTGAACTTGCTTTTCAACTCTAACAGTATGCTATGAACATTTTTCCATATTCTATTACATGGAAAAGAATCTAGGAAGTAGCGCTGTGACTCAAGCACTAGAGCGCTAGCCTTGAGCTGAAGAGCTGAGGGACAGCGTCCAGGCCCAAAGTTCAAACCCCATGACCCACAAAAAAAAAAAAGAATCTAACATCATTATTATGTCATATAATCTGTCATATGGAGAAATCATATTATTCTCTTTTGTTGTATAGAATTTTTTTCCCTCAGGTCTTTCCCTCCTAGAAATACTAATAGATTATTAGTATAAACAAGCTTATTTTACATCCCTAATCATTTATCCATGGATAGATTCCTCCTTAGGAGAGGAATTACCTGTGGAAAGAGGACAAGATGCCCAACATAAGTTGCCATTGCTTGCTAGCAGTTGTGCCCCAGTTTATTAGAGCAGCAGTGTGGGAGTGATAGTCCATTACCTTGTTGCTCTTCAGCGTTGGGCTTCAAGAATCTTACTACTTACATTTGTTTAGCATTTGTGTCTGCTTTCTTTCAGTGGCACATTTGTATTCATGCCTTCTTCCCCAATGGGTATGCCCTGTAAATCTACTCTCTGATCTGTACTCCTGCCTTAGAGCTCTGGGAGGATGACACAGCCACTGTTTTATCCCCATGCCAGAGTGTTAGTGAAAACTAGCAAGTTTTCTGAATGTTAGACTTAAAGATCTGTGTTTTCTCCCCATAGAAATATATATACAGATTATACAGATCCCAAAACTCAGTTTTAGGCAGATTGCCTTTTCTCTTTTACATGATTGCTTTCTTTTTTTTTTATTTTGGTCAGTCATGGGCTTCAACTCTGGGCCTGGACACTGTCTCTGAGCTCTTCAGCTCAAGGCCAGTGCTGTACTACTTGAGTCACAGTGCCACTGCCAGTTTTCTGGTGGTTAATTGGAGATTAGAGTCTCAAGGACTTTTCTGCCTAGCCTGGCTTTGAACCGATATCCTCAGATCTCAGCCTCCTGAGTAGCTAGGATTACAGGCGTGAGCCACCGGTGCCCAGCTGCTTTCATTCTTTAGACAGCAAACAGGCATATGTAAAATAAACTCACTTTCTTGGGAGAAAAAAATTGTAATTTTTAATTCTGAAATATGAAAAGCACAATAACTCATTTTCAAAAGCATACAGTCCACATGTCACAAGATTTTCATCTTTTAAAATGATTTTATTATATCATTATGACATGTTATTTACAATCATTTTGCATAACTTAATTTGTATAAATTTTTGTAAATCAGAGCCTCTTTGTAGGGTAATTTAATTATAATGCAAACCTAATACATTAATTATCATCATTAATTGTGATTAGTCGTGGGGAGAGCCTACTTGGAGGAAAAAGAACCCAAGACTGGAGCCTTTGAAGTAGAGTCCTTGACTCCCCACCTACCTCTTAGAGGTCTGAACAGCCCTACCCCAGGACTACTTTTTTTTTAACCAACTAATTTGTTCCCACATAATCAAGAGGTTTTACAAATAAGAACATAGCTAATATTCTGTAAACTGCATAAGTGAAATCAATATAAAGTGTTTACTTTTTTGTCCCACTTCTGGGTCTTGAACTCAGGGCCTGGGCACTACCCCTGAACTTTTTGGATCTGCTCCACTTCTGGCTTTTTGGAAGTTAATTGGAGATAACAATTTCACAGGCTTTCTTGCCCAGGCTGATCATCAGATCAGCCTCCTAAGTAGGATTACGGGCATAAAGTATAAGCCACTAATGCCCAGCTTTAAAATTTTTACTGTTTACTGAACTGTGTTCCTAACTGTGCTGTTAAGTCAAGACTTAGGAATTTCAAATGCTTTTTAAAAAAGTGTTTTCCAAATCTATCTCAGTAACACTCGGAAATCAATTACTAATATTTTCTTTTTTTTCTGGAGTCTGGTCGTGGGGCCTGAACTCTGGGCCTGGGCGCTGCCCCTCAGCTCTTCAGCTCAAGGCTAGTGCTCTACCACTTCTTGAGCCACAGCACCACTTCAGCTTTTTTCTTTTTGCTTATGTGGTGCTAAGGAATAGAACCCAGGGCCTCATGCATGCAAGGCAAGCACTCTACCACTGAGCCACCTTCCCAGCCCCTAATAGAGATTTTCTTTCTTTATCCCAGGCCTCCTGAATCATAATCTCTGTTCCTGATCCTTATAATAAGTGTTTTTAACACTCCAGTGATTCTTTGCCCTGGAATTGGGAATCTAATAAAAAAAAGCTAGTTTTGAAAAAAACAAATGCTACATAGGAATACAACACATTGATTTTCTGAGGCTTTCTCTTTATTGCACTGTACCTCTTATTTATGAAATAAAAAGTTAGACCATCATTATTTCCCTGTGCAATTAAAAGTGCTGTTGATGCACACCAATTTGTTTTGTCAGTACTAGGGTTTGAACTCAGCACCTTATACTTACTACCACTTAGGCCACACCCCTGGACCCACTTTTATAAAGTTATTTTTCAGATAGGGTCTCATCTTCAGATCATAATCCTACTTACTCCTCCCAAGTACTTGGGACCACAGACATACAGCCTCATGTCTCACTTTATGTGTTGAGATGGGGGATCTCGACTTAGGCACTTATTACCCCTTTCTCTGTCTTCTCTGGGACTCATCTGTAACTCCTTGTACTTTGGGCCTATCTGAAGGTTTCTGGATTCTCTGGCAGCAACTCCTGCCCCCAGCCCATCACATATAAAGCTTAAAGGTGGCCTCTTTTTGTAGGTTTCTCACTATAGTTCATCCCGAACAGTCACATTGATTTCCTCTACATAGTCTTTGCTAAGTGTTTGCTAGTCAGTTCTGGCCTGGCAGTGTGTTCCACTAGGGTTGTAGCTAGTAAACCTGTTGCAGAGAGTGTCTGGGCCTGCCACCTGAAGTGCCATCTGGGCTATGCCATTCAGAGCTTTGCTCTTTTGGCTTTGAGTTGTAAATGACCAATCTTCATTTGCTTAATATAATCCTTTCTGATCATGCTAGTGACACTGTAAGACTTTAAAGTGGCTCTTCATATATTAACCTTAAAGTCTCAAACTTTTTCTCATGTTAACAATATTCATGTAGACCCAGAATTAAAGTATGGTATGTATTATATGTAAATTTCATACTATATATTATAGCGTATAACATATGCTATAAATATAACATATATAATATATATAGTATATATATAATTTTTTCATAGGAATTTCTTTCTGGTCCCTTGAACTCCAGATCTAAAACCAGGTTCTTCATTTCACCCATTTCCCTCCTACACCTTCTAGGTTCTTTATTTTAGGGACTAGGTTGATTTGTGTGTGGGGGGGGGTGTCTTAATGTTCTCATTTGGACTAATTTAAATGGTCAGTATTTCATTCAAAACTTTTCTGATCACCAGCCTGCCACCCCAATCTAACTTTCTCTTCTATTCCTGCTCACATTCTCTCTTCTAGCAATACTAGAGTATTTGCCCCCCTCCATGACCTCTTCCTGTCTTCTTTGCTCTTAGGCTCTTTAGCTGCAGCTGATCCTGCTTGTATCTCTCCATTTTTTCAATAAAGACTGAGTGCTTGTTGATATTCAGTATCCTAAGTACTAAGGATATGACTATCCTCCCAAGAATAAAGGGATCCAGGTGTGATTAGGCCCCCATGGTGTGTCCTGTTCTGCTTAAGGATGGCTGGTAGTTTATATACTGGTATCCTTCATCGCTCCTTGAGGCTCATATGTCTCTTGAATGAGCAGGTTCTATTAGATGAGCCAGTGACCAGTAGAGAGTAGTAGCCTTTTTGTGTGGGAGTGGTAAGGGGCGAGAACTAGTAGCAAATGTTTTTAAGAACTTCTACAACAATATTTTTATGTTTTGATAGCCACTCTTTGCATTTATCAGAAAAGGTTTATTTATCCTTAAGTATTGACTTTGTATGTTTTCTCTATTTAACTCAATGCACATCTAGGTGGCACAGGGTGCTTTTAAAAGGAATCCTGACCAATGGAATGGTGTCCGTGTACGAGTTGGACTATGGCAAGCACGAGCTAGTCAACATAAGGAAGGTACAGCCCCTAGTGGACGTGTTCCGAAAATTGCCCTTCCAAGCAGTAACTGCCCAGCTTGCAGGTAATTTGTGTGGAATTGAAAATCATTTGAGCTGCAGTATAGCTTATATTGTCCTTTTGTCCTTGCTACTTAACAAGCACAAAACCATTGGCCCACTAGGATTTTATTTTTCATGCTAGCAATATCCCAACCAAAATGGAAATCATCATAAGGATCTCTTACTCTCCATGCTTTCCCATTATTCACAGTGCTTATTTTTCCTATACCTTTCTGTCCCTTGTTTGCATGCCTGAGTAAATTTCTAAAACTGCAATGATATCTCAGTACAGGTACAATATCGCATTCTGCTTTTCATTTAGGTTTCCCCCACTATTTTGCTGGGGGGGGGGATGGTTCATGTTTTTGTTGTTATTCCTTCTTCCCACTGTACTTGGGATTGAACTCAGGGCTTTGTGCACGTGCTAAGCATGCATTCTACTAAGCCATGCCCTCACCTTCTGCTTCTGGTAATTATTTTTAATGGGTGCAAGCCATTCCATTGAATCAATTATTTCCCTACAGTTAGCTTGTTTATACTTGTTATTGTAATGTTGAGAGAAACCTTACAGATACATAAAACAATAGCAACAACTTGTGTCCACTAGTCATTCTACTTTGGACTTGAACCTTTAGATAGTTTCTACAAATTAATGATTACCTCTTCTCATTTTCACTTTTAATGTTTCAATTTTTGTAACAGCACCTTTTATCAAACATGATCATCTGGATACCCAGAGAAAATTCTCTGGGAGGAATTGGGTGCCTGGCCCTACCCTGTCATTAGCCTCATGTTGGTGGTTACTGGTGCTTAGTATATAATAGAGACCCTGCTAGCCACTTTGTCTTTCTTGTAATAATATATGCATTCAGTGCTGTGAGTTTCCCTCTAGATGCTGCTGTTGCTTCATCCCTCAGGTTTTCATATGCCCTGTTTTTATTTTCAATTAGCTCAATGAGCTGTATGCCATTTAGAACTGTGTTGTTCATTCTCCAAGTGCTTGATTTTCTAGCCATCTTCCTGTGATTAATTTCAAATTTAGCTCCATTTTGATCTGAAAAGACATTTTATGATTTCTATCTCTTTGAAATTTATTGTGTTTTATGCTGAAGAATGTAGTCTAACCTGGAAAATAGTCCATGAAGAATATATTCTGCTGTTGTCAGATGAAGTAGTCCAGATGTCACTTATATCCAGTTGACACATACAGTGCTGTTCAGTTCAGTGTGTCCCTGCTAGTTTTCTGCCTGCTGGATCTGTCCCTTTCTGATAGAAAAGCTAAAGTCTCTAACTACAATAAGGGGGTTCATGTTTCTCCTTGAATTTCTGTTTCTGCCTATGCTGTTGTGGCATGCTGATGTTAGGCTTGTGCATGTGAGAACTTACCCCTGTACCATATGTAATGCTTCTCTGCATTCCTGATAACTTCCCTTGCAGTGAAGTCTTCTGGTACCTGCTCCCCAAACAGAGCCTGTGTTGCTTTCCTGCCATTTTTTCATTAGTTATACAAAGGATTTTGTTGTGATATTTCACACATGCACTTGTAGTCAGACTAATCCTCTCTACCCACAAGTCCATCTTAAATACTGTTAAATTCCTTCATGGATAGTGCAAATACATCATCATAACAAAAAAAATCCCATAATAAAGTAATTCCTTCTGCCTGCCCCTTGCTTTATTCCATTTATTTTACTTTCATATGCTAGCATATATAATCAGACTTCGTTGCTATTATTATTTTGAACAATCTTTTAGACCTGTTAGAATAAGAAATAAAAATTTACCAAACTTTATTCATTAGGTTTTCCTTTACATACATACTAATTTCATTTTCCTTTCCTATGAAAAACTTATATTAATATTTCTCCCATCTACTGACAACAGACTCCTACAACTTTAGTTTATCTGAGTCTTTGTTTTGTTTTCCTTCCTTCTTTCTTTTCTTCTCTGTGTGTGTGTGTGTGTGTGTGTGTGTGTGTGTGTGTAAGTACACATAAACTGGAAGAAGTTTAGATCCACATGCATGCCAGAGCAAGTGCTCTGACACTGAGCTTCATCCCTAATCTCTCTACTTCACTTTTTTTCACTCTCCTAGTACTGGGGCTTAAACTAGGGCCTGAGTGCTATCCCTGAGCTTTTTAGTTCAAAGCTAGCACTGTACCACTTGAGCCACAGTTCATTTCTAGCTTTCTGGTGGCTAATTGGTTAAGTAGAGTCTCACAAACTTTTCTGCTCAGGCTAGCTTCAAACCACAAACCTTAGATCTCAGCCTCCTGAGTAGCTAAGATTATAGATGTGAGCCACCAGTGCCCAGCTCCCCTTTCCTTTTGAGTAATTTTTATAGGACACAGAATTCTAGTTGGTAGATTATGTTTTTCTCTCAATACTCTCTTCTTGCCTTATAAGTTTTCTAAGGAGAAGATAGAAATAATTTTCATCTGTGTTCCTTTTCAGATAGGCCCCTCTCCCACATGCTCTGGTTTCTTGCAAGATTTTTATCTTTGATTTTCTAATGTTTAGCTATGATATATCTAGCTTACTTGGGAATATTTATCCTGCTTGGTATTCTCTGAGCTTTCTGGATCTATGGTTTTTTCATATGACACTAATCTGAAGAAATTTGCAGTTGTTTCAAATATTGCTTCTGTTCTTTCTCTTTGGATATTCTATTCTGTTTTTGTTTCTAGTTGTTTTTCTCTTTGTCTTTCAGTTTTGGAAGTTTCTGTTGTTACGTACTCAAGATCAGGGCTTCTTTAGTGGAATCCAGTCTGTAATGACCCTATCAGATATTTTTGGCTGCTATGGTATTTTTGACCTCCAGAATTTCTTTTTTATTCTTCCTTAAATTTTCTGCTTATGTTATCCATTCTTTTCCAGCTGCAGTACTAGAGTTTTAACTCAAGGTCTTAAAATTGCTAGGCAGAAAAAAAAATTGCTAGGCAGGTGCTCTACCAGTTGAGCCAAACCCCCAACCCTTTTGCTTTAGTTATATTTGAGATATGATCTTAAGGTTCTGCCCAGGTGTCTTTAACTACAATCCTTTTATCTCCTACTGTAGCTAGGCTGACAGGCAAATACCACCACACCTAATCTTTTTTGTTCATGGGTCTCATGCCTGGACTGACATCGAACTACAATCTTCCTGAGTAGCTAGAATTACTGGTGTGAGATGTTGTGCCTAGCCATTTTTTTCCTTTTGATGTTAGAGCTCAAAACAAGGGCCTCACACATGTTAAATGTGTGCTGTACCTCAGCCCCTCTTGCATCTGCCCTTACATGTTGTCTACTTCATCTTTTAAAGCTCTAGCATACTAATCATATTATTTTAAATTTCTGGCCAACATTCCTGCCAAATACTGACATTTTTTCAGTCTCTTCAAATTGGGTGGTTTGTTGTTATTTTTTTTTGGTAGGTTGTGGGGCTTGAACTCAGGGCCTGGGGGCTGTCCCTGAGCCTCTTTGTGCTCAAGGCCACTTGAGCTGCAGAGCCACTTTGAGTTTTGGAGTGGTTAACTGAAGATAAGAGTCTGACGGCACTTCCCTGCCCCACCAGCTTTGAACCCCGATCCTCAGATCTCAGCCTCCTAAGTAGGTAGCATTACAGGGACGAGCCACAGGTGCCCAGCTTCAAACTGTTTTTTGCCTTTAATGTCACTTGTAATTTGCTGAAAGGTGGTCATGATGTACTGTGTGAAAGGAACTCCTTTAAACAGGCTGTTAGTATATGTAGTGCAAGTGAGTTGGGTGGGGAGTAGTTTACCTATAGTCCGTGATCAAGGTTTAATCTTCTGTGGACCTGCAACTCTGGACTGAGTTTTACCCTGTGTTGCTAAGGAGAATGGGAGTGGTGTGGCATTTCTCTCCCCCAGACAGAATAGATGGTGATGAAACCCCTTCAGGTCAGGCTTCATTAAACCCTTTCTCCTAAGAGAGGGAGCTTAGGAACAAAAAGGCTCTGGTGCAGTTCAGACCCAAAGGGAATTCTTCTCTGATCCTCACCATTAGGACCAGGAGATAGCTCTTGCTAGAGCTCTTTACTTTTCAACTTGTTCATATGAACCCACAGCACTTTGTCACAGTTTGATTTTTTCTCGTCTAGTACTGACTCAGGTCTCTAGGATTGGTTTCTGCTCTGGTAAGTTGTGATTTATGACATCCCCCTGTCTTTGTGTCCTTTTCAAGGTTGGCAGATTGCTCTGTGACCTCATTTTGGAGTTTTGTTCACCTTTTTACTTGTTACGATGGAATGAAAACTTCTGAATTCCTGGTGGGCAGGGCAGAGCAATGTTCCAACAGCTATTTTATTTCATTGACTTCTCCCCCTGCTGGAAGGCTTAAGTACTACTAATGCAATACTTGCACACAAGCTGAGTACTTTTCCTGAGTAGACCCCATAACCTTCCACCCTCTGCACTCTGCCTTTCCAGCACTTCCCTTTCTGCACTAAATATAGTTTGGAAGTTATTCAGCGTGGATTCAGAGCCCTTAACTTGTTGTCCTACCCACATCATTATTTCTGCTTATGTTCCAGAGCTCTCAATAGATAGATTAGAGAAGAATGAGTATGAAATCACCTTCTAGGCTAAAACCTGCAGCACAAACACATGAATATCTTTTCATACTTACACCTAGAGATGTAGTGTTGCTGTTGGGCCCATCTGCAACCTGAGTTCCTCCTCTAGGCTCACCTCTGCCAGCCTGCTTTCCTCTACTGATTTGCTTGTTAAGAGTCTCTCTGGGCATCAGACTCCTGGAAGGGAGAACTGTGGAAGAGTGTTTAGGGTAGAGAGTATCTCTCACTCCACCTCAGGCATCTGCTAGAGAGGATGACATAGAATTGGAGTTTCATGGAAGTCACCTGTTGTGTGGCTATTGGAGGCATCACTGTGGTAGACTTGATTTACTTCCAACCACAGCCTGTGAATTGTGAGAATATCCTTAGATTCAAGGAACTCTCTAGAACTTAAGTGTAGGAATCCACAGGATGCTCAGATTGTGTGAATCAGAATATTTTAAGAATTCCCCAGGGACCTTGAGCAAATCCTTGCCTGCTTAAAAATAGGGCCATGTTTAAGATCGTAACAGGATTCTCTGACTTGATCTCTCAAGTTCTGAAGTTACAGAGGTTAACAGATGCCAGAGCTTCAGATTCATCTGGTCCAGTTTCTTTTCTACTAGGCAGAATGAGGCCCAAGAGAGCAGTTGATTTGCCTCAAGTCACAGCCGTGATAGAGGAAAAGCTGGCTAATAGTAGCCAAGTCCCACTTAAACCTTTTCCATGATGTTTAGAATATGTTTTTAAATTATATTGTAAACAAAACTAATCCTTAAAAAACAGCAATCCTTAAAAACATTGGTCCACTGGGAAAAATAGTTGAAGAGGAATGTTACTAGTATGATAGAGACTGATGTTCTGTGCTCCTATCTATATCTCAGTTGTTAGGTTAAGACTACATATAGTTTGTGTATGGGGAGCAAGAGTAGTTGATTACCTCATTTTATAATACATCATCAGATCTCAAAAGAAAGTTATGTTGACTTGCAGAAGTGACTTTATTTAGAGAAAAAAAAACTGTGCAGGTCTAACATGTGATGCTGCAACTGCTGTGAAATAGACTAGACAGTTTCCCCTTAAAATAGATCAAAGCTGGTACTGGTGGCTTATGATTGTAATCCTAGCTACACAGTAGGCTGAGATCTGAGGATCGTGACTCGAAGCCAGCCCAGGCAGGAAAGCCTATGAGACAATAAACTACTCAGAAAAAGCCAAAGTGATGCTATGGCTCAAGTGATAAGAACACTAGCCTTAAGCAAAAAGAAGCTCAGGCACAGTGCCTAGGCCCTGAGTCCAAGCCCTAGGACTGGCCAAAAAAAAGAGGATTAAAGGATGGTGTGTTTTGAACCCTCACCTTTTCTGTTTTTCTCCTAGGAGTGAAATGCAGCCAGTGGTCTGAGGAGGCTTCGATGGTGTTTCGAAATCATGTGGAGAAGAAAGCTCTGGTGGCACTGGTACAGACAGTTATTGAAAGCACTAACCCTTGGGACCGGAAGGTAGTGGTCTATCTAGTAGACACGTCGCTGCCAGACACTGACACCTGGATTCATGATTTTATGTCACAGTATCTGGTAGAGCTTTCAAAAGTTAATTAATCACTGCGTCTGAGACCTTGACAACTAATTCAGATTTTTTTTAGCAATAATAAAATGTAGTAGGCTTTAAAAAAAATCTTATTTCTGCTACATGGCTCTGACTGTTGTGGGAGATTGGAAAGAATATGCTTATGTTTGATGAGAGATATTTAGCAAGTTTTGTTTTAACAGAGTTGACTTTTCAAAGAAAATTGCACTTGAATTATTACTATAATATTAGAATAAAAATGTTTATCAATGTAAAAACTGACTACCTTGTCATTTCTAGGTTTTATGGTCCTAAGATGAAATTTCATTGCCTGTGCCACTAATGTCTTCCTTGTGATACATGGTCCTTCTCTGGGTAGACTGAGTTCCATGCCTTAACTCTATCTTGGGTTAATGGTATACCCCAAAGCAAGTAACCCCCAAAGCATGTGACCTGGAGTCTTTGGCCTATCAGCATTGCAATAGGAGCAGCCAGGCAAACAAGCATGCCCTCACCCCGCATCTTGAGTGGTTCCTCATTGCCCAGCTAACTTAGACTCATGACTAGGCCTTTCCCATCTCCCCTCTTCTTCCTACTCAGCTCCACCCACAGAGGCCTTTATTTGGGCCCTGAACCTTACATATGTTCATCCAGTACTACTGATATTGTCACACAAGACTTGGCTTTTCTCAAAACTTGTCCATTCTATTCCTTGTGCCTGTAATGCCTTCTCCTGCACCAAGTTTTACATATCAATGCCCTGCCAGACCTCCCAGGCTGACCGTGAAAACCTTTCTCTGGTGTTCTTTTCCAGTCCAATATATTTTGTTTTTGTTTGCTCATTTGTTTTTGTTTTTAGAAATGAGGGCTTGCTATGTATGTAGCTCAGGCTGGCTTTGAACTCCTAATCATCCTGCCTCCACCTCCCCAGTACAGGGATATATGTGGCACCCAGCTCTCCATTGTACTTTATGCCCACTCTGCTGCCACAACTAGTTGCCTTTCTACCTGTTACTCCAAGTAGATAGTGAGCACATATCCCCTCTGGGAGTATATCGTTTTATCAGTAATACATTGGTAAATGCTTTGTGACTGGTTCTGGTTGCTGGGAGGTGAGCATTGATGTGTATGCTAAAATACAAGTCATGGCTCCCACCATTGGTGGTTTCTGACTAGCAATGTGACATCACTGAATATTGATTTAGGAGATGTTGCTTCAAGGATTTTGTGACCCTGGATGAAGGTCTCTAGCATACCACTGCCTAATACCATACGCATGGGCAGAATAACAGTTTGCACGGCTCAGCATGTGATTGCTACATGGTGGGCAGATGGGGAGATTTGTAAATTGTAGTAGTGGTCTCAGGATAATGTGGAGGAGGTTTGGGATGAGAGTGGGACAATGCAAGTACAGGAAACTTGAATTTTTTAAAAATAAAATTGCTAGAACAAACTGTAAATGGGTAGAGAAGTTAGGGAAAACACTAGAGGCAAGCTTTAAAACCAAGGATGGTTAAGTTTGAGGGGAAGATTAAAATTTTGTTTTCTAAACACATAGAATTTGAGCTAATAAACCCCTCTATAGGAATGAGGCAGAAGCTCTACCACTCAAGCCCCTCTACTGCCCCTGGAGATTAATATTTCTAAAGTCATTTGAAAAAAATCTAGGAGAAATGATAAAAGGAAGAGGAGAGGTAAATTTTTTAAGTTGTTCATCTTAAACATGTAGGAGTTATTGCTAGATTTTAAGGTTTTTGTTGTTTTGGTTGTAGTACCGGTGTAAACCTAGCACCTTGCATTTGGATAATCAGGTGCTCTACCCCAACTCTTTTTGTTTTCATTATTTTTTAGATAGGAGCTCCAGGCTGGCTTGACTACTATCCTCCTGTTTATGTTTCTTGTGTAGTTGAAATGACAAGTTCACACCACTGTGCCCACTTTTATTGACTAAAATGCAATGGGTTTTTTGTTGTTTTCTTTCTTTTTTTTTTGCCAGCTGAACTTTTGCCTATATTCTCCAAATCTCTGACTGCCAATTAGTTAGATTACAGGTGACAGCTACTGATGCCCAGCCTACTTTTTAAACTGATTCAGAATTCAAAAATACTTATGCCAGTGATTTCATTTGTAATAAAGTAAAAATATTCTGGAACATAAATATTTAAGTGAGATAAACTAGTGATTTTTATGTGTGTATGCTGGTAATATAATTTGAACTATGGGTCTCACATTCTTACTCCTGACTGACACTCTACCACTTTAGCTGTACCTTCAGTCTAGTATTTTGTGTGTGTATATACTAGTCCTGAGGATTGACGTCAGGCCCTAGGCACTGTCCCTGGACTTCTCTGCTCAAGGCTAGCTCCCTGCCACTTCCAGGTTTGAGGGAGTTTAATTGCAGGTAAGAGTCTCGCAAACTTTCCTGCCCAGGCAGTAGTTTTGAACTACAGTCTTCACATCTCAGCCTCCTGAATAGCCACTGGCGCCCAGTCTAGTATTTTTGCTGGTTAATTGGAGATAGAGTCTCTCAGACTGTTCTGCTCAGGCTGTATTAAAATCATGATTCTCAGATCTCGGCCTCCTGAGAAGCCAGGTCATGATATCTTTATGATGGTCTGTTTCCCTAATACACACACAAAAAAGAGCAAAACTCAAATTTTTGTCTACAAGAAGAGTTGTTTTTTATTTTATTGGCTTTAGAAATAAAACACTATGTGTGTGAACATAAATGTAACAACCTGGTACTGAGTCAATTTGACTCACAGATGAACCTGGCTTTACCACATACCATATTCCAAAGTCAGTTCCAGGTGGATTGGAAACCTAAACGTGAAAAACAAAGGAAGATAGCATAGAAAAATACCTTTATAGCTCAGGACTAAAAAAAAATTCTTAAGCAGGACTTACAAAGTACAGACTAAAAAAAAAAAGTTATAGACAGACTATTAAAGACATTAAGGCAAAAGGTAAAGCACAGAGTAGAAGAATCTAGTGATATAGAAATGTGTTCACTAAACAAAAGACTGCAGAAGAAAAGTGGGCAATCAGTTGTAACATTCACAAAAGAGGAAATCCAACTGGCCAAAAAATATAAAAAGGTGTCAGCCCATAAGGATATAGAGAAACCCAAGTTGGAACCTCGTTGAGAGACAATTACTCATGTACCAGAGTGGCTGGAATGTCTAGCTCTTGTTTCTGCTAAGTACTGCTGAGAATGTGGAACTGCTGTTGATGACATTATAGGAGTCCATGGAGTTAGGCATGCTTCATGACCCAGCTCTGCAACAGTGTATGCCCTTCCTTGTACAGGAGGACACTGTGGAAGAATGTCACCAGTACTTGTAATAAAATATGAAAATGGATTTTTAAAAATTGTACTATATTCATATGATGGAAAAACTCTACAGCAATGAGGGAAAACCAACTATGGGCACATGAAATATTATGGCTTAATCTCAAAAGAGTTGAACAATGGAGACAAACTACATGGGTCTAGGAAGAGAAAGTAAGGATATGAATAATGTTAAAGGGTCTCTAGAGAAGCTTTCTTGAGTACTGGGCTCAAACTGAAGGCACTAGCACCCACTGGGTTTTCTTGTCACACCTCCAGCTAGGCTTTTTGCCCTAGCTGGCTTTGAATTGAAATCCTCTAGGGTCTCAGCCTTCTGAGTAACTGGGATTACAGTTGTGAGCTAAGAAAGTGAGCACCTTTAGGAAGAGTTGTGACTGAGAAAGCACAGGCTGGTTTCTGAGCCCCTGGGGAATGTTTGCTGATTGGTGGTTGGTTTGCACAGGTGTTCACACTAAAATTTTAGGAACCTACATATTGATATTATAGGTACTTAAGTATTTGAGTCTGTAGCAAACATGTTTGAAAATTATAATCTGAAATGTGTATATATACATATCTTTATGTATATATGTTTTTATAAAGGTCTCTTTCCCTAAGATAATGAAAGGGGCACAAAGATTGTCTACAACTTATGAAGAGATGATTTCTATTTCACTGGCTTAAAATACACACACATATAAAGAGCATTCTCATAATAGTTGAGTTTTCATAATATAGAAATACATTGTTGTGAAAATATTTTAAAATTTATTAGCTTACATTAGTTATATAGTGATGGATTTCTTTGGTGGTTACAATATATTCTAATAAATTTCATTCCCTTTTCCTCCCCCTTCCCCAAAACAATTTAGTTTTGGGGGAACAGGCTTCCTTGTTCTACTTTCATAGTTGCAATCAATCTATTTCAACCATCTGTGAAAATACTCTTAAATGACTGTTTTTCATTAGTAATCTCCACCAGAATTCAAGAGTTGATTTTATTAGGGTCTCCCCCACCAACAACTTTCTCATAACTATCCAAACCCAGACATTTCCCTACACCCCTATGAATTCCTTTGCTAAGAGCCATTTGTCTATTAAAACACCCATAGTTTCTGTTTGGGTTTAAGTGGTTTGTTCTGGAAAACACATTAGCCTTTTAAGAAAGGGGAGCTTTTGTTGTGGTTATTTTAAGTGGCTATTTTGGACTCTCCAGTCTCTGCCATTCGGTGTAGAGAGAATGCATTTCACCCTGAGTTGGAATTGCGCATTCATCAAATGATAGTTATTAAAGTCTGGGCTCCGGCCAGACCCGGCCGGGTGGCAGGAAAAGTGTGACGGGTCGCGGCTTTACCTCCATCCCTACTGAGTGCCTCCCACAAACTCTAGCCCCTGCGGGAACAGAAAATCTGCCCATCTTTTTCCTGGTAACTCAACATGGCTTAAACTCTTCTCTGGGATAGTGGGGAAACTGAGACTCAGACGGGGTCACACACACACACACACACACACACACACACACACACACACACACACACACACACACACACACACACACACTTCCCGGGCTGCCGATCGGGGCTTTCGGGCGGTGAGGTGTCCCCAGTCCCGCGCGCTCCCCACAGCGGGTGCTCCTCCCCAGGGTCGGGCGGAGGCGACGCGCGTGCCTCTGCGCCCCTAGGGGAGGGGAGGTGGAGGGG